GTGAACATAAGATGAAACTGAATAGGACCTGCTGCATGGGTGACAGCTTCTCTTCCATATCAACCTACCCTGGCTTTGTGCCCTGGAGAGGCCATTCCAGACCGACAATCAGAACGCAACTCCCTAGTGCCCTATAACTAATGGATGCCTACTACTACTACTACTAGCACTCATAGCATTTCAGGCAGATTTTTAATCCTAATTTTCCCTGGAATACGACCCGCCAAATCGTTTAACAACCAGGTACCAATTCACTGCTGGGTGAACAGAGGCGTGCAGTTAAGGATTGGTGCCCAATCAATCCTCCCCGGCCAGGGTACAAACCCATGCCAAATTACTCGCAAAACGTGTGGTGAGTTTCTGTGCTTGGAAGAAAACTCATCATTGGATTGGGACTAATTTGTTAAATATTTATTATTAATTAATATTTACAATTATTAGTAATTAGTAAGTGATCCTGCTTGGAAAAGCGGGAAAGTTTCTGTAGGAAGAAAACGTCTGCCTAACGAGTTGCGCCTGGGTGCGTGCGCACCAAAGTGGGATACTTAAGCGGGTTACCAGGTGTTATGGGGGGCAGGTGATTGTACTGAGAGGGCCAATAGTACAAGATAAAAGAGTTCCTAAAATAGTGGCAATAGGGAGGCCCCGGCCCCCAGGGAAGAATATTCCCAGCAATTAATAATTGTTAGAATAAATGTCTGTAGTCTAAGGTAATCCCCTATTCCACACTCGGCAGGATAAAAGGAACTCCTATCTTATACCTTATTTATTAAACCCCTCTAATAACCCCCCATATACATTAATACAACTATTTACTTTACCACTCTACCCTACGTTAACCCCCTTGGCCCACATAGGCAGGATGTAAGGTCTACAATAACAAACTAGGGTAAAGTCTACTTAGAGAACAACACTTGTAAGGCTTGAAGCAGCCTGGGTAGCTATGACCCACGTGGTACCCTAGTCACAATGGAGTACACTTAGTGATACCAAAACACTGGCTTAAAATACCTCTAAACAAAACACACACCTAGCTAGTAGCACGGTACATTAATGGGTACTTAACTTGTAGAACATAGATTATAGGGAGAGGAGAAAGGAGGTGGAGGAAGACAGCCCCACAGGGAAAGTCAGGACGCCACAGCTCGAGCTCGTTTAAGTATGCTGCCGGGACGGATACCTAGCTGATCGTACAGCAGCAATCATCACAAGTTTACTCAGACATTCATTACTAGTTACTTTAACAGTTCTAAGAATAGCTGATAACTGGTTCAATATTATATTTAATAATCAACAAGCTCAGAGTATGAATGCTCTGTGAGAAACAAGATTAAAAAAAAAATCTTACGTTTGGCAAGGACGACGGAAATACATGCATAACCCAGCTTTAAGGAGCCATGATATAAATGTTATTGTTAATTAAATATCCTTCTCGCATGATCCAATGCTATGAATTAATGTAAAGTAATTATTTAGAGCTCAATTGGACCTCTGGTTTCCAACTAAGAGCCCAGGGTCGTAACACCAGGGGTCACAACCTCCACTTGCCTGCAGACGATGACCCCTCAATGCTTCGGACCTTGTCTTCTCCCTACATGATTCGTTATATGTTTTGGGTTTCATGGGGTGTGGTGCTCTGCCGCAACCCCCCCCCCCCAAAGTGTTAGGCTTCCACTTCTGGAGTAATCTTAGTATACATAGCTTGGTTAACTTCTGTAACTCATTTAATCAATAATGAATTAAGACTACGTTAATATTTACTTAAGGAATAAATTCCCGCTGCACAAACGAGTTACGGGAGAATGTACGATTGCTAGGTGCATGCAAGTAACTAAGCTATAATTAATTGTAAATATTATTAATACTAGTGCCACAGAGCAGCATTTTGGGACCTCTCCTATTTCTTATATACATCAATGATCTGCCTAATGTCTCTAACATTCTGAAACCTATTTTGTTTACTGATGATACTACCCTCATCTACTCTAACCCCAACCCACATACACTAAATAATGTTGTTAATAATGAACTAAAAAAAGTCCACTTATGGATGTCAACCAACAAACTAACACTTAACATAAAAAATACCTACTACATCTTATTCGGAAGCAAATCTACAAATGAAATTCAGCTTCAGATAGACAATGTAAACATTAGCAATAAAAATGATGGAAAGTTTCTCGGCCTATTCCTAGACAAGAGACTCAACTTCAGTACCCACATACAACAAACACATAACTAACAAAGTCTCTAGAACAGTAGGTATACTCTCCAAAATCAGATATTATGTACCTAACTCTGCTCTCATCTCTCTATATTATGTACTAATCTATCCCTATCTTAATTATGGTATCTGTGCATGGGGTTCAACCACTGCATACCACCTCAAGTCCATCATCACCCAGCAAAAGTCTGCTATCAGAATAATAACAAATTCTGCTTTCAGACAACACTCAGCCCCCTTGTTTAACTCCCTAAACATGCTAAACATAATCTCACTCCACAAATTCTCTTGTGTCAACTACATTTACAAAACCCTGTTCTTAAATACAAATCCTGCTCTGAAACTCTCCCTGGACAGATGTAATAGGACCCATTATCACCACACCAGAAATAAATATCTCTTTGATATCCCCAGAGTCAAACTTAATCTGTGTAAACACTCTATGCAAATAAAGGGACCCAGTCTATGGAACTCACTCCCTAATGAATTGAAAAGCTGTCCAACTTTTGCGTCATTCAAAAACAATACTAAAAAGTACCTAATTTCATCTTCATAGTTTTTTACCTTTTGCTTTAAAACTGCACTGTATCTATTGCTACCCAATCTCCCAATCTTTATGTACCCAATCTGAACATCTTTATCATTGTGATCATTGCTGTCTTCTTATATGTGCTGTCAATCTGCTGTATGGTGTCTATTAATCTTGTTGATCTTGGCGCGCGGATTGAACGCTCCTGGCTGGACGTTCTTTCCACACCTTACCTGGAACTCATCTTTGAATTCAGCTGGCTTCTTTGGGCCAGTGTGTGCTCACTGTAGCTACCCAGGGGTTCACAGTGAATACTGAGTTAAATAAAGTCCATCTTTGGCTAACTGCCAACAAACTCACCCTCAACATTGACAAACTTTCTATATTTTGTTTGGCAATAAATCCTCAAATCAAATAAATCTCAGGATAAACAATGGCCAAATTTGTAACAAAGTAGATGGCAAATGTGTTGGCGTTCTCATTGATGAATTTCCAGGGACACATTCTAAATACATAAAAAAAAAAGTTTCAAAAACTGTTGGCATTTTTTCTAAGATCAGATATTATGTACCTTGCCCTGCCCTGGTGACACACTATTACTCTTTCAACTATCCTTATCTCAACTATGGTATTTGTGCTTGGGGTTCTACTACTGGGGAGCCGGTCGGCTGAGCGGACAGCACACTGGACTTGTGATCATTTGATCCTGGGTTCGATCCCGGGCGCCGGCGAGAAACAATGGGCAGAGTTTCTTTCACCCTATGCCCCTGTTACCTAGCAGTAAAATAGGTACCTGGGTGTTAATCAGCTGTCACGGGCTGCTTCCTGGGGGTGGAGGCCTGGTCGAGGACCAGGCCGTGGGTACACTAAAGCCCCGAAATCATCTCAAGATAACCCAAAATCATTTACGTCCTCTAATTACTCAACACAAAGCTGCCATTAGGACAATATCTAACTCTGGCCCCAGACATCACTCGGTACCTCTACTCAAATCTCTGAATATGTTAGATATTAAGTCACTGCACATCCTCTCTTGTGTATTTTATATATATAAAACGCTGAACTGTAATGTCAATCCTGACCTTAAAAGCTTCCTAGAAGGTTGTAACAGATCCCATGAGCACCACACCAGAAACAAATACCTATTTGATATTCCAAGAGTACGACTTAATCAAACTAGAAATGCTCTACAAATCAAGGGACCCAGAATGTGGAATGACCTTCCTAGTCATGTTAAAGACTGTACCTCTCCCAACCCATTTAAGATAAAAACTAAGCACTACCTAATTAACTCCATGTAACCTACCTTCCCCTAAATGTCAACCCATGTCTGCTATTTTAAACAATGCTGTTTGTTGACCAAATTGTATATTTGCTATTTTTCTGCCATGTTACCCCCTTTTTTAATTTTATATTATCTCAACACAATTTATACTTTAATCTCAATTAGTATTAAGTTTTGGTCTTAGTGTTTTTCTTGCCCGAAACGCTTTGCGTAATAGTGGCTTTAGGCATTGTATGTACTAGCTCTATCTATAAATCCATTAATGTTTGTATCACACCTTGTATGTATGTTCTTTATATGAATAAACATTTGAATTTGAATTTTGAATTTTTGAATTTGACTCGATGGGGAGCGAGAACATTGTAGCTCGATGTGGTTGTAGTCTGCTGATGTAGTGTCTTGAGGTCGATTAGAACTGCATACGCTGAGTGTTACATTCTTGAGGTTTGAAGAGATGTGGTTAGTCCTAAGTGTCTGTATTGCAGTTCACTGAATCACTGTGGAAATTGTACTCCTGGCTATTCGCAATTTGCTTGCTTATATTTTCTGACTACACCTCAGCTTCCTCCATCAGGATGGAAAGAATGGTACCTGTAAATAGGGATAGGATTATAGCTTGTGTAATTAGTGATAATTAGTTACGCCATTAAGCTAATGAGAGGCTGTAGTGAGTATATTGTTTGTACTCGTTACACCCACTTTTCCAAGCAGAATTATTTTTGTGTATAATATTGTATATTATATATTTCGAATCTCTATTTTATAATAATAATAATAATAATTTAGTTAAAGTACATACATAGTTGCAGAGTTACAGTACAAACATTCTGTTTGATTTAAAGATTGATTTGGTAGTACATACAATACCTAAAGCCACTAGTATGCATAGCGTTTCGGGCAAATCTGCATAATGTTTAATCAACATTATGCAGTTTTTATCATTATAATTTGGGTGGCCGCAGCTGCACAACAACAAAGCTGTGGAGGTGAGTGAGACTGAGGAGGTGAAGGTGGGCGAGCCTGGCGGGCTGGTGTTGGTTGTCATGGTCACAGCCCTCCTCCCTGCTGACACTGCCAGACGGGCTGCCAACACCCTCGTCGAGAAACTAGCTAACAACGTTACCCTCGAGAAGGTTAGTGACGTAGATGAGATTACGTATTTCTTAACCAACAACAAAAACATTGTATTGAACATTGTGTTGACCAAACACTAATATATAAATAACAACATTGTTATTTATCTTAAAACTTTATCAAGGTCTTAAAATAATATAAGGAAAAGATAAGTGAGCCTTTAAGTTTTATATTTAATAAATCATTAGTCAAGCAAAGTACTGGAATCGTGAAGACTTTTAAATGCTTTGCCAATCTTTAAAAGGGTGGATTGCTAAATTTGTTAAATTAGATAGCTGCTCCAACAAGTCAGACCTTATCAGATCTGCAGTCTTTTGTAAATCCACTGTTTATGTGAATGAATGTCTGACCAGGTTCAGACAAAATCTCTTACTTAAACTGCGTGGATTCTGAAAAAATTCCCCTGTAATTAAACATTGTTTTGTGCGAGATGGTAAAATTATAGCTAGGAAGACTGACGCTGGAAAAACCTATGTAATAACCACTGAAGCTCACCTCAATTCAATTGCTGCACTTCTCCGTAGTGAGAAGGCATTTCTGAGTGAAGTGGTCGTATTTATGACATCTGAAGCATTGCCTCGGCTGTAAGAAACGTTCCAACTTCACGAGGTCCGGTGTGACGGAGATGCCGAGGCACCTGAAACCATTGTTGGCAGCTTGAATCGGTGATGCAGTGGAAGAGAAAATAACCATCATGGTCTAGTGTCGTTGCTGCAGGGGATTTTTTTGCCACCGCAGTCAGGGCTGGGTTCAAGGAGTTGATGCTTTCAATGATACCAGTTTCTGTCTCTGAGGTGATGAATGTGTTGATTCTACTGTACTGTACTTGCGAAGATGGAGTGGCTGGCAGTATAGCGGCGCGGTGATAAGGAGGTCGGAGGTCTGCAGGGTGGCTTGGTGAGCAGGGGACAGAGGTTTCTCCATCGCCTCCATGCTTGTGAATAGAAGTCCGGCACCATGTCTGTTCTCTCTTATGTCAACCGGGGTAGTGTTGGTGATGGCAGCGATCCTCTCTAGGATCTGTCATCATGAGAGCGGCTCATTCCCTCTAAATCGTACTTTGATCTTTGATCCTGGTGACGGGTAGTTTCCACTTTAGATGTGAGTAATCTCTGGGACCACCCCATCAATGAGCGTCGCAGTGGCAAGAGAGACTGAGGAAGTGACCACAGCAATTCAGAAACCACCCCTTCGACAAGGGTCAAAGTGGCAGAGGAGTGTAATTACCTAAATGTAGTTACAGGATGAGAGCTATGCTCGTGGTGTCCCAGTCATCCCAGTACTCCGTCTTATGACACCTGGAAACTACTGATGGTTTTGGCCTCCCACCACCTTATGCGTGTGCTTCCTGGCTCTGCTAGAACAAGAATAAGGGTGCTTGACCTGGGCTTACTTTTATGACCCCACCTGTTGCCGCGTAAGTCTCTAGGCACTTGTTTTTCCCCATACAGAAAAACCAGCATTTTCTGAAACTACGGATCCTCTACATGCATTGGACCTTCCCAGTCAAATGTTATTGTTATAAACACCCTCCTAGTACTTTGGAGCTCATAAACTGTTCAATTAATGTAAACAAAGCTGCCAAAGATTGAGAAAAGATGTACAGGATGTACAAGTACTTGTGTAGCTTGTAAATTCAGGTCTAGGGTTGTAACAGGCATCTCCTTGTGGGATGCCTAATTCAGTCTCTTCTTACACTCAGTGCCTCTAGAACAATACAAATGACTGTCAGTTGGATAAGTAATCTCTGATCCAACAAAGCCAACCACCAATATTCATTTTGGCAAGCTCATTCAAAGTGACATGTCGGTTTACAATGTGAAAGGCAGACTTGAGATCTAGGAAGGTGGCATATGGCATGTCAGAGTGCAGGGTAAGAAAGGTAGTGATGCAATGATGCACACTCCTTCCATGCATGAAGCCATATATCTGGGGGATAGCATGGTTCTTATTCTATGGAGGAGACAGTTTAGGACCATTCTCTCCAATGTTTTGCAAAGGCAGCTAGTAAGAGAAATTGGTCGCAAAGCATTCTTTTGATTGGGCTTGGAAAATGAGTATACTGTTGGTCCTAGAGACAGGAAGTTTCCCTGTAATATAGCTCATATTATACAGCTCAAGAAGTGAATTTCCTGGTACTAAAGGAAGAAAACGCAATATGATATATTATCCTCATCGTATGAGGTAACCAGACTGTTGAAATGGTGTACTGTACTATGAAATTGGACTATCATTCTTTTCTTTCACTATTCGGTTTGATATGAATTTGTGTATATATGTGGCATTACAAAATATATATATAGTAGATCTGTGTTGCGAACTATTTTCTTTAAAAAAATTATTACAAGTAACTTGTTCAAATTTTTTGATAATTTAACTGTAGTCAAGGGGCCAAAATCTGTCCCCATTTTAGAGTAGGCATAATTTCGTATTTAGGAGACCTACAAAAGAATCACTTCGGTGATTATATTATATTCTGTTCTATATATATTCAGAAGAGAAAATTATTAAAATAAACTAAGCTACTAGCTACAAAAATTAAGCTGTAATTAATCCCTAATTAGTTACTATATTTTAGGACTCAAATATAGTAACTAATTAGGGATTAATTACAGCCTAATTTTTGTAGCTAGTAGCTTAGTTTATTTTAATAATTTTCTCTTCTGACTATATAAAGAACAGAACATTAGTAGGCTTACTGGTCTATACAAAACATGTCCTATTCACTCCTCGTTATTTTTATACATGCACCTAAATCTTAGGGGATTTCAAAACTGTACAAAGTACTGGCTTGAATGACATTAGTAGATGTGTTTCAGTTAGTGTATCGACACTCGTGGGCATCATTGTCGGAGGCACGGGTGTTGGCGGGGCGACGGGCAGCAGAGGAGGCCAGGCAGCGAGCAGCAGATATGGCATCAGCAGTGGGTGGCACGCTAGGATCTTGTCTCACTGTAAAGGAAGACACCTGTACACACGTCGCCATAACCGATGGTAGGTCACATAGCACAGCCTAAGAGCTCTAGTGTACATAAATTCACTTGTTGTGTTACACTGTTTGTCATATTATTAGTGTTTACATAAAGTCTGAAGGTCTAAAGAATGGGGATTTGTTCTGGGATCCAGGTACCAGAGCATAAGCTTTCTGGCTTATGCTCTGGTAATACCACCAAGACCTAAATAAATCAGACCATCGTGTCCCATCTTAACCTAATACAAGCCAAGTGTGATAAAACTTGTTTAAAAAACAAGGCATCCCAAGGTAAACAATGGAATCAACCATTGCCAGGGGAAAAAGTTTTAAATATCCCTAACTGTAATGCACACAACTGCCATTAGATTGCATCCCAGGGTCTCAGCCAGCTTGCCACCTCACTCTGAACTACCCATACCAAACCAGCCAGCCCCAGAGGGAAGAGAGGAACAGGGCAGTGATGGAGTGCTATTGGGGGCCCTCCATAAAAGGCCAAGATTGAGCACCCTTTGCAGAGGCCACAGCAGTCCCAAAACCTAACTGAGACAGAGACTTCACAGGCCTGAACTACTACTGGGCCCACACCAAAGGTAGAGGGTGGTAGGTGTAATGGTAACTTTTGGTGACAACAGACACATAGTATGGTAACTAAATATACAGGGTGTACCAAAAGTTTGGCCCCACAGGACACGTATGTATTTAACACTATAATTTTTGTTTACAACATATATGAATTAGTTACACAGAAATCAAAATAATGTGATATATCAAATGAACACATCCACACAAGGGCCGTCCGTGATGAGGTTTCGAACCTATGCACGGGATGTTCCCAGAAGCACCTTAGTCAACTGCACCACAACATGATTAAAAAAATTGCAACCTGGAGTGTTACTGCCCCTCACTAGGATTCTGCTGAAGTTTCTCCAAAGCCCAATCTGGGTTTCACACAATTCCCCCTCCTGTACCCCATCATGGTCCTTGTGGATTTGTTCATTTGATATATAATATTATTGTTATTTCTATGTGTACTGAAGTAAGGGCATATAAGTAGAACATTGGGTTGACAGAGCCCGGGTGCATGGGGGGGGGGGAATTGTCTGAAACCCCAATTGGGCTTCGGAGACGCTTTGGGATCCTAGTGAGGGCAGTGGCACTCCAGGTTGCAATTCTTTTAACAATGTCATGGTACAATTGACTAAGGCGCATCTGGGAACATCCCATGCATAGGTTCGAACCCTCATCACGGCCCTTGTGGATCTGTTCATATGAATTAGTTATTTTAATTTTTCAGAACCGTTACATTATGACAGCTAACTTTATGAGAGCCAAAAAAATACAGCTGGTGCTTTTGTAAGCTAAAGGACAGCATAACAAGAGAATTTGAAGCCATAAAACTTGCCTAATCTAATACATCCATCGGACCCGTGCGTCCCCTACGGGATTCCCAGGGTCCTGAGCGTTTACTATAAGAGGACTCGCACTCAGGTAATCCCAGGCAGGGTACTACTAACTGGCGCAAAGTCTACCAAACAACTTTCGAAGAACTGAACCCCCGGGACGTGTACACTCATGGGGACCTAGCAGGGGGTACCACCGGAAAAGGAAGAGTAAGCAGTACAAAGGGGGAAAGAACCAAGGCAGATCCCCCACCAGGTAGACATACAAAAAGAAAAAAAACTGCAAGAGGACAGCGTACCCAGACGGAACAGAGCCGGCCGCCATGATTGGTGAAAACAAGCTGCGCAGCACCCTGCGCCCCATCAGTACAAACTGCCCCTTACCCCAAGGTGAACAAGGGAGGCAGAACACCCTAGCACACAAAGGGCTGCCGAAAACCAAACAGTAAACGGCCTAGAAGGGGCAGAACCCAAGGGACTTGTGGAAGGGAACCCCAAGCCCCAAGCACAGTACTTACAGGGCACCTAGGGAAGGAAACCCTAGGTGCATGCAACCCGAGTACTGGAGAATCACTCCCGGCTCATGCACCACCTAGAAGACAATCACCAGACGCTAGGTACAGTGCTGAAACAACCACCGGAGCCAGAGCACATGACCTCGCCCTTTAGCATCAGCCGAAGAACTGGGGTGTGGATCGCCGGCACGGGGGGTCTGGGGCTCCCCCTTCCCCCTCCTGGCGAAGGGGGAGCTGCGCAGACGGTGGCGCGGCGACGAGTGACGTCATATTAGTTTGCTAGTTTTTGTTTGGGGAATTCTATTCACTCGTTCAGTTTTGTGGTTGCAATTTTTACCAGAATAGGGGTTTGTTTTGGGACACTTACCTTTCTGGGTGCCTGACCCAGTCGATCGCAGACATAGAATGCTTCCAACCACACGGGGGGTTTCTATAAGCCATTGCTTCCCTTGCCTCTCTAGAGAGGGGCCAGGTTCTGGCTCGTGGTCCCCGGTAGGCCCAAAGAACTCCATACACATCCCAAAGTCTGACATTAGCATATCAGCCTAGTAAGCTATGGGGACCCGTAGGGGCTTCCCCCCAGAAAACCAGCATTGAATGTAATGAAATGCCATTTTCTGGGTGAGTCTTGGAGGCTCCTCAGAGCTATCCAGGCTGATAGGGATAGACCTAACTTTTGGCATTAGTCGATGTGGGTGGAGTTCTAGGCCTACCGGGGACCACGATCCAGAATTTGGACCCCTCTGAGAGGCACGAGGAACAATGGCCTATAGAATGCACAGGTGATTTGGGAGCATTGTATATCTGCCCTTGACTGGGACAGGCACCCAAAAACATAAGTGCCTCAAAACAAACCTCTATTCAGTTGAACACGAATAAAATAGATATACGAGTTGAAAGAACTCCCCAAATGAAAACGTGTAAACAAGCATAACGTCACACGAGCTGCGCCACACATCTGCACAGATCCCCCTTCCCAGGAGGGGAAAGGGGAAGCCCCAGACCCTTGCGCCGGCAATTCACACCCCAGTTATAAGATTGGATATCAAATACGCAAAAAAACACCGACCGGAGGGAAGGAGAGTTGCCGGGAAGCCTCCAGGACTCGCCCAGAAAAAGGTGTTATTTACATTCAATGCTGGTTTTCTGGGGAGAGCCCTTACGGCTTCCCAGAGCTACTTCATCAAAGACGAAAAGAAAGGGAACTTACCCAGAAAGCGGTCGGTGCTCACATCTCAACACAAAGTCAAGACAAGTGGCAGCAACCTCCGACCCAAAATATGACAGGCCTGACTAGGCCCAGAAAAATTCACGAGGTACAGTACTGTGCAGCCAGGAGTCTGTTCGAATGCCAAAATCCCCGTGCCCGAATGTCAATCCAAGACATGTTACCAAAGACAGCAGCAAGAGCAGCAAACTTACAAACGTCATGGGCACGAGGATAGACCGCAGGCTGGCTAGACTTAATAACCCTGCAGACGACCTGAGAGACCCGTACCCGCGAAAAGTGAAGAAAGGGAAACCGGATCAACCCAAAGCACGTCCCCGGACACAGAAGCTATGGTGAGCAAATAACGGCGAAGGGCCGCAACCTGACAACACATAATGCACCCCTGGCCTAACCAACCTAGCATCAACAACCCAAGGACCCCTCCGGAAAGCAGCAGTCTCATTTGCCAGAAAAGGAGGAGACGGCTGCAACCGAACATATCTATCACCACAGCCAAAAGAGTAGAAACCCCTGCACCGGAGAAGAGCATGAAGCTCTGCAACACGACCCCCACAGGCCAATGCCAACAGGAAAAAAGAGCCTTAGAAAAACAATCCTGAACTGAAGGGGCCACAACAAACCGAGGAGAAGAGAGGTAGGAGAGCACTCTGGCCGAAGACCAGGATGGCTCAGGAGGCGCATGAACAAGCCGGAGGTGAAACAATGCACGAGACAGCTTGCAAAACGGTGCAGAAGTGACATCTATACCGAAAGCAAGCGGCAGCCACTCCGCCAGCGCCACACGGGGAGGAGGCGGGTTAGGCACAGGAACCCACACCTCGACCAGTCCTGCTGGAAGGCGTCGATCCTGATGGCCTTGCAGCCGGGGAAGGGCGCCACATATACTGGAAGACACCTTGACCATGCCAAAGCGAAGAAGTCTACCTCCAGGCGCCTGAACCTCTGGCAGAGCCACCCGAACAAGTCAGTATCAACCGTCCACTCTGTGGACAGGGAAATGAACCGGGACAGGCCGTCCACTAGGACGCTGGACACTACCCGGACATGAACGGAAAAGAGAGCCAAATCCCAAGAACTTGGCAGACGAGTCATCTGAAGAGACCAGTCCCATAGAGCAGTCCGAATGGAGCCGGATCGTCGATCCGCGGGCGACCCGAACCCTCGGAAGTGCAAACCACACTGCCACGAACTCCTGCACAGTGCTGTGGGCCCGACGGAAGGACAAACTGCACCACCCGTGGCCGGCCTGGTGAGCACTGGTCACAAAGCCCCAGCCGAGAGACAACGCATCCGTGAACACATCGAGCGAGGGCTCGGGTAGGCGCCAAGGCACTGAACCCAAAAAAAAACTGAAGAGGAAGCTGGTGACGCAGCAGCCAATGTAAGGCCCCCAGGGGTCGAACCCAGCGATCAGGAGAGAGGCGAAAGGGACGTCCCTAAAGGAACCAGAACAGCCAACAAAGCCAGCTGTACATATCAGTACATATACAGTTCGTATCAATAATCTTTTAATATCACAAGTAATTCAACAAGAGGCTCACAACATTCTCTATATGTATACCTTGTACACTTACCACAGATGTAATCTTGCTCCACACCCACCCAACTGGGCAGCAGCATTACAGTCATGTGCAGGCTGCACCTACAGTAAGCATGCCTTGGATACTTTGCTAAAGATTCCTGGCAGTACACCATTTGTGTACAGGGGTACCTCGGTTTAAAAATTTAATCTGTTCCTGGAGACGGTTCGTAACTCGAAAATTCATAAACCCCATAAGAAATAATGGAAAATGAATTAATCTGTTCCTGACTCTGCAAAAACTTCACTTCAAAGTAAATTTTATTCCTAATTCACCCAAATCTATACAACAAAA